GGTCACCCTTAGCCTCATTCCTGTTTGAAGGCTTGGCAACCAAGCACACCACTGTAAAATGGACTATTCAGCCACCCTCTCAGTTCAGCTCATACATCAATTGCATGATATCATTAATTATCAAAAGAATACTACACAGAAGAGGGGATTGGAAACTAGGCAGACTTTGAACTTGACATGATAACTCAATGTCCACAGCATACATTGGTTTATCAGGTCAAGTTCTTGTGCTATTGTATATCGATTGAATGCTCTTGACCAATTACATTTTTTATAATAAGGCATGTATAAAAATGACAATTAATAACCCTGTTTCATAGCAATTTACAGTTATTCAGTAAATAAAAATTAAAAAAAAAGATTAATGTATCAGTTATTACATGTGGGAAAAATGAGCAAAAATTGTAACACACACCTGATGAAAGTAATATTCAAATGCTTTCTTATCAATGTCCCTCAGCTCTAGGCCATGGCAGGCTTTGATACACAGTCTGAATAAGTAAACCTGGCTGGTACACTCGGCCTCATTAAGCACCTTGTTTGGATTAAGAAAATGTCTGCTGTCTACAGAAACCAAGGTGAAAAAATCCAATGCAACTGGGGAGATTTTGAGTATCTGGGCTGCTTCTGTGCAGACATCCTGTGCGAAAAAGAAAACAAACGTATTACAACAGTCAACCCACTGCACTTAGGCTCTGCTTGTCTAATAAGCATGGATAAAATTGTTTATTCCTGTTTAGGACCTGTCAAATGAGCACTGCTCTGAAGCTCTGTAACTTTCCCTTTACCAGTATCTTAAGTGAATGACCAAGACAGACTTTCTCCTTACAATATTGATACAATATCAAGCAGACAAGTGATGTGAATAAAAGAAAATAACAATTAGGTGATTACTGGTTGATCCAATGCCAGATTTTCAAAACTCAGATTAAAAAAAAAATTGTTTGGTAGGCAGACAAATAGCAGGAGAGATAAATACAACTGAAATCCCATGATGAAATTGAATATCAGTCACCCGGTACCCTCCAGTCTGAAGTTAGTATGTAAAAAATTCTCGGAAACCATTAAAAAAAATCAGTTATTAAGAAGCCTTTTGTTTGGCCTAATACACAGTTCTAAGAGTTTTTCTCGGAAGAACATGTGACAACCCACAATGCTCATTTAATAAGTATCCCCTCTAACCTCTTCAATCCTATATGTGATTGACAGCAGATTTCTCCTTAAAATTTAACTTATTACTCAAACACACAGACCACAAGATAAGTTCTTTTGATATTGACCAACTTCTCCTAATTCTTCTTCAAGAAAAGTAGAGTGTGAAAAGAGGAGAAGTTGTGTTTTGATATCAGGGTTTAGGAATGTTATGCCAAGCATGAAAACCCAGGTGTCACCTTTGAGGATTAGTATGTTTTCAGAGGAGGAGTTTGATTGGTCTCAGAGGAAAACCATTGGTTAGAGGTCTCTTTAAATAGCAATACATTTCTAGGAATTAAAATAATGCCCCCTTTGTAAACATTTATCTTTCTAAGAACTAATTACCATGTATATTTTCTATCAAAGCCATTAATTCATTAAGTGCTATTTCCTCCAGCAATTGATTGTTAACAGATTAAGGATTGTGATAACAAGCAGTATATAGTCTAGCAGAATAGTAGGTTTGGAAGGCTAACATTCTTTTCAGTTTGCTGCAGATATATGTGCACAAAAAAACACATCAGAGTATAGGATTCTAATCAATAGGACAATAGTGACATCTTTTAAGTTAGGTGTTAAATAATGGAACAGATGTCGACACCACTTTTATTGCACAAACAAAAGATTTTCCGAGAATTGTTGATCTCAGAAGTAATTCCTTTGATATTTGATGCTCAAAATATGTATTAGATTATGAAACTAACAAAAAAAAAACACCATTAAGTTTGCCAAAACAGGTAATGAAGACACAAAATCATTTAATTGCGATGAGTTTCTAAACCACATTGTTTTTTAAGTAACAGGTGTTGCACTAAGTTATGTTTGACTTCCGTGGTAGAATGCCGATGGCTGTTACTATCCCTTGGAAACACGAATAATCTAAATAAGTTTATGCACTGATTCCATAATTGATCGAGAGGCTAAACAGTCTGCATTTAACGATATATATACTGTCGGTCACTTCTTAGCTGTCAAAACGTTTTGGAACGTAAAAGATCGAGAGCTCATCAAAAGAGACGGCCATTCATAAATTAAAAAATCAATCAAACAATTTAAATGTAAATGTTCGAAAAACCTTGCAAAGATCGTTTAAAACGCGCCTAAATGTACCTAAAAACCGCAAAGTCGAGTCACCACCAGGAGGAAAATCTAAAACATAGGAGTTCACTATGAAATTGGGGACTATTTTTGCTGAAGGCTCTCAAAACAGAAAAACGACTATGGTATTTCGTGGGTAACACGTTATCCAGTTCTCAGAAAAACCTCGAAACGAAGCATTTAAAACTCAACTTGGAGCAACACCGTACGTGATCGTAAGTTACTGTTTCATTTCTATCGATCGTGTCACGAGGACTCTAGAACGCAGGCAGTGTTTACATGAACTTTAGACCGAAACAAAGAAACTCCTTCGATCAACTAACGTGAAGAAAAGCTCAACTCACCCTAACGCTCAAGTTTGGACGGTATGCGAAAGTCAAATCTTCGTGACTCGACGCGAAAATTACAGTTCCTTTTCCTTCCCTAAGGGAAGTTGAACGAGACCATGGCCAAGTTCTTCGTGTACAAGCTTCCCTGACTCTTCTCCAAACTTCTGGACCGCCATTAACACCCATTCTTAGATTTCGTCAACATTTCATGTCTCAACGTTGTGGGAAAACTAGCAATTGTCGTTCGAAGCACAAATACATGTTTAAAACTACATTTTTCATTCCGGGAACTGCCACAAGCTATTCCGTTTCCGAGAAAACCCCATACTAAGTGCCAGGCGTCTCTCGGGATGTTCGTTTTGACCGAGCTAAAACTGAAGCGAACCAATCAAATTTCGTCTTAGTGATTTGTCTCAGGAATTGGGAGGGAGGGGAGGATCAGGAATTGTTTATGGAGTAAAACTGATGACAGTCCCATGACTGGGACCCTTAAATTTCTACTCCAGCCTCAAATTATCGAATATTTTATTAGCTGGGCGTCAATGAGAGCAAATCACTTTTAATCTCTTTAGGTCGTTTTGTACCTTAGTCGAGAAATCTGCCTAAAATTGAGAGCAAATCTCGAAATGGTATGGCTTCAAGGGGGAGGCAGGATGGATTTTTTTAGTCGCCAAATTACCTTTAGCCGCATAAATAAAAGTCGAGCTTTCGGAGAAATATTAAAATGCTATGACCACGAATCATCCAATTAGTCTGCTTTCCAAGAATTACCCCTTCATGGCGTGCTAAAGTCCAAGGTTGGCTTTTGCAAAGCTGGCGAGGCGTAAAGCCTAGAGGGGGTATTGAGGGTGTGTTTGTTGGAGGTATTTAATCTTAAAAATTGAATACTTTTTTCCTAGAAAACCTTTTACGGAGAAGCTGGTTTTCACCAGAAAACAACACACACGTCAATGGCTATTGTTTTAAAATTCCTAGAAAAGGCTTTGAGGTAAATGCACATTTTATCAAAGTACACATGTCGAAGGCTTTTGAAAGAAGTTGTACCCCAGGTCTATCCTGCTCATCAGGTAAGAAAAAAATCACAGTCTGAGGTGCTAAAATCACAATACGCTAATATTTGGAAGTTTTCAGTATAAAGATGAAATCTATGGACACCGGAAACTTCAACTTTAGTCCAACGGAGCAGTGATCATACATGTGAGTTTATTATCAATTTTAGTTTTGTGAGAGCAATCTTTTATATTTCGAAGCAAATTCAGAAAATTCGCGCATTTAAGGTTTGCTTTGCTCGTTCATAGGCTGGGAGGGGAACTTTTTTCTTTGCTATTCGGTGCTAGTTCAAAAACGAACGAAGAAAAACACTTGCAAATATTAATTGAAAAGTTAATAAACTCGTTTTGTTTAGGCTGTTAGAAAAAAATTGACAAAAGAATATTTAATGTCTCTGCCACAATAGCACACACCCCAGAATTTCATCCATACGGATCATTGTGATGAATCAGCCACGAGAAAAAAAAGGAAATTTTTGAAATATAATTTCTTGTTTATGTTAAATTATTAGAGAATAAAACTGTCCATCATATTTTTTACCCATCGAGGCGGTCGTTTTGGACTGGCTATAGTCCCAGTTCAAGGTACTTATTCGGTTATGTAATTCATTTCTAGGAGAGTGCAAAGTCCAAATGTCACCCATTGTCGAATCCGCTCACGCTCAAGGCCGAGCAGAATTTGTCAATAGTTTTTTTCTGCACTAATGTGATACTGCCTAACAGGGGCAAGTAGTGTTTTCTCATAAGTGTTGCTGGTACAGCTGGTACAACGAAAATAAACTACCTGTAATCTTTAGAGTCCTGAATGATTTATCACCATCAGCGAAAGACAGAATCGAAGAACCTGGTTTTTTTTTATTGATTTCCACATTATATCGACAAAGAGCATCAGGTTTTCAAAAGCTGAGCTATAAAAAAAGGTCACTGACGAAACTGCTGTGTGGTCATTAAAGTTGTCTGATTAAAAAAATGCGAGGCCAGAAAACACCGAATTGTCGATTCGTAGGGAGGTCGTTTCATGCGACATGAAGTTAGCTTGGACTAGTGAAATGAAGGAAAATCGTAATATGGTTTGCCAGGAAGAAAAACAGTGAATTGGAAACACAAAACTACAAATTAAAGTGATGCGGATAGTTAAGATTGGTTGAATAGTGAAGACTAACACGGGAAGATTGAAACCTACTTGAGCAAGAATTTTTCCCGATATCAAGCATGTAATATCTGGTTTAAAAAAACTTAGATTAGATCGAAGATATTAAAGGGGTTCTTACTTTTTTTAGGTAGGATATACGGTTCAAAAGGAATAAGGCTTTAAACCTCGATCACTATTGATTGCTACTCAATGGTGATGATCGGATCTTGAGAGATACACATGACTAAAACAACATAGAACTAATCACACATTTATTACACGGTTTTAGGGTTGCTGTCGTTTGTGGCAAAGAGAACCTTGACTGTGTCTCATCTTGTGAAAATTCGGAACGAGTAGTTTTTGTCCTGTTCCCGCCAAGCGCTTGCTTAAGAAAGAAAGGAGAAAAAAAGACAAGCAAAGCAAAGCTTGCAGCTGTTATCAGGTTTTTGTTTGTCAACACGCATTCACTGAGAACCTTATTCAGGCTGGCTGATTGTTGACACTGGGCCTACAAAGAGGGATTTTAAAAACTCAAGAACTGACTACCAAGTATGTTAAATATGTTAAATAAAGCTGAAGTCGTTTTATTTTAGCTAAGCAATGGTAAGTTCCGATGTACATGCTTGACAGTGTGATTTGACTTGAGTGCAACCGAGACATGTCCATACACGCTTTGTCTCTTAAATTTAAAATAAAGGATAAGGGATTTTGATGGAAGAAAATCCTTGTGCTTTGTTAAGTCAAACAAAGTAAGTTAAACATGGAAGTTTGATCTACTTATTAGAAAAATCCCAACACCTCTTAATACGGGTGGCAAATAGCGCACGCAAAACATGCAAGAAAGTGAGGTTCTTTCCTACCCAAAAGGAAAAGAGGAGGCAGAGACTTCGAAGATTTGCTGTGTAGTAATATGTCGACGTGCTTTCGTGACTCCTACAAGACAGATTCAAAAAGTGATTTTCACGGCTTCAATGCCCAGCTCTTTTGGTATTCACATGCCTTGGGTAATACTGATGTCTCCGAAGGTGGTTATTTTTGGCTCTCTGTTGGTATCAGCTGTTCCAGAAGCGGTGGTTTACTAGTGATTTCCTGTTGATTAAACGCTTGCAATCAGCTCTCAAGATTTTAATAGAGACAGCTATTCCACAGATTCTTGGAAAAGTTTTGCAATGATTATAAAATCGAAGCAGCAGGACCCCCGAAAAATAGCAATAAAGCGTCGAGAGTGTAACACCCTGGAAATAAAGCGAAACATCAGTGAGACGCCCTTTAGTTGGACGGATGGCACTCCAACATGACCAGACATCTTGGTGAGTTCCTAAACCCTAGATTTTTAACATTACTGGGTAAATTATGGTCTTCGATGAATATGATCCTTGATAAATATGCACAATTTTCTTATTGAGTCGATTTTTCACCAAAGAACTCCATAGAGTTTACAGTTCCCGTCATTGTTGGCTAGTTTGTTATACAGTGATGATCTTGTGATTCAAACTCTAAGTTCAGTGAAACCCCAATGTACAGGGCGTAGATCGTCGTTATTTTTTTTTCGCGTTATTTGGAATTAGATGTTTTCAGTTAGGCGTTCTTTAAATGCAGGACATTTTCCCTTTTAGTTTCTTACTATTATGAGCTTGTTTGATGCAAATTACTTTAAACTGATATTTCAGTTACATGGTTGTTTTATTCAAATAGTCGAGTAACGGTGTTTCAAAATTTCAAGTGGAGCACAAGTCAGATAGATAGATTGGATAGATAGATAGGTTCTTTTTTGAAATACATCGCAGCTCGTAGAGCTGAATTACGTATTTTCATTAAAATTCTAGTTGAATGTACAAACTTACAAATTGAATAATACCTGAGAGCTAATGAAAGTAATATCTAAAACATTTAAAAACTATAACCATCTTGCTGAAATCATATTGTTAAAGGTCTAATAATTTAAACAGTATTCACTGGGGCGTATGTTGCCATAGTAAAACTATTGTTAAATCTGTTTGTTGTACAGCGCGGTATGCTGAAAGATGGCGCGTGCCTAAGGTTGTATTTGCTCTCATGTAGGGGCGGCAGTAATTTCCTGAGTTTATGGCCGCTGTCATTGAAAATACTTTCAAATGTACACTTGCAAATATCACTGTGATGCTCCGCTACGGACGGTAGGTTCGTTAGTACTAACGCGTGCTGATATTCAGATGATTCGCATTGCCCCTTTTTGAACGCGCTCTAGTTCTGGCATTAAGTAGGCAGGTAGAACATAATGAAACACTGGTACAGCATAATCGATAACGGAGCGCACGCATGTGCTGTAAAAAAGACAAAGATC